TGAACGTCTTTAATGTTGAACATAACAAAACACATTCTCGGGCTGCTGAACAGTGTGTTTTACTTAACCTCTCTACTGTGTACGTCACTTCCTTGTTCTGCTCCAACGTAACCTTACACATAAAATAGTACCATTACATTACAAAATGAATCCCTGAAACTGGAAATATTAAGTGATAAAGAGTTGAATAAGAGTCTCGGAAAAGTATTTGCCCCCTTGGATGTTATACCCTCTTATTGCTTTGATAAATTAAATAAAGATTAATATAATGTGGCTTTTTGACGGAGAAACTTACAAAAACTATTGTTCTCCAGTTCTGATTGGTTCAGTCCTGGTTCTGGGCGGTTCGACCCGGTTCTGGGTGAATTTCTCTCACCCAGAATGCTCTGGGTCTTTTTAACCTGTGTTTTTCGCTCCCGGTGTTTCTGATTGGCTGTCGGTGTCCTCTGCGATTTCCCGGTTTAAACTTTGTTCTTGCTGAACCGGGAGGTTCGACCGACCGACCGGCCGCACCCTGGGCGCGTGACCGCGCATCCACATTTTAACCCTGGCACCGGGCGCGCGCCTGCAGTGCGGGGCTCTGCGTGACGTCTGTGATGCTTTGCGCGCATCGCCCGCTCTGTTGTGAGTATAACTGCGTGACCGGGATGTCTTGGCGGGGCGGGGTTTAACGGGCATGTCTGAAAACATTCATTGCGTCTCCGAGCCGGTGTACGCTGTCATAACAATGCAACGCACTCATAAATGTGCGTCGCTATGAAATTAGTTGTGTTTGCTGCTGCGGTTGCTGATTAGCTCAAAAACATGCCATTCACTACGTCCCCATAACTGATTGGCTGCTGAAACTAAGCCCCGCCCACTAGGGGGTCTTATATAAATTAGCTCGGAGCTCGGCCATCGTTTTCGGTTTCCTGTGGCCTGCCCGGAAAACTCGTTGCTCCTGCCATCCCCCGCCAGCCTGTAGACATCATGGCCAATCCCAGAGTGTACTTCGACATCAGCGCTGACGGCTCCCATCTGGGCCGCATCATCATGGAGGTAAGGCGGCTCCCAGCCGGCGAGGCGCTGCTGGCGCGGCCGGGCGGGTGAAACTGCTGTTCATCGGGGTTCGCGCGGCTTCACGCCGCCCTTCAGCCGTTTCTGTCGGCAGCTTTTTCCGGAGCTTTCCGCAGCGGCTGGCCCGAACCGAAACCGGATCCTGTCGCGGCTCCAGCCGTGGATGCTGGCGTTCTGTTCCGGTAACGGTTCTATTGGACCCGCAACTGAAACCGGACCCGTCACGCGCAGCCTCACGAGGCGCGCGAGTCTTTGTTGCAGGGTCGCTCGCGCGGCCTACTTCCCGCGGCTGGAGCTGCGGGGCGCGAGGCCCGCTGCGGTGGGTTTTCCCGCGTGTAATCTGGGCGGGACCTCAGTGGCGCGAGGCGGCAGGCGCGGCGCTGCGGGCCCGGTCCGGTCCGGTTCTGGAAAGTTCCACTGAGCTGGCGCGGTGCGGGAGGGGGAGGGGCGCCGTCTGAACGCTGCGAAATGCGGACGTAAGCAGGAAGACCCAGTGAAGCCGGTTCGGTTCGGGGACACGCAGAGGGTCAGGAACGTTCCCGGGGAACCGGTCTGACTCAGGACTTCCGCAGCTGTTGAGCCAGGCACAGGGCGTTCCCGGAGCGAACCCCCGGATCCTCCCGGGCTGCAGCGCGGCCTGCTGCAGCTGCTGCAGCCATGCGGCTCTGCAGCAGCTGAAGTTGGCCTCTGATTCGGCGGTAGGACCTTGATCTGCTGTTCAAAACTAAAACCTTCTAATCTGCTCAGGATTATTCTGCTCTGGTTGCAGAATATTTAAAACAGTTTATTAAAGGTAATTTGATCTTTTTCTGCAACAAATTTAAAGTTGCCCAGAAGTTAAACTGGACAAAATGAGATGCATGGAAGAGAATTTATGTTGGAATAAATTGATAAACTGTGATTTTATTACGCAGATTAAAACATTAAAAAATCTAAATGCATGTAAAATACAAAATTAAATCACCTGAAGTCATCAAACCTGGTCTGGATTATTTTACTGGGTTTGCAGAATATTTCAGATAAAGTTTGTAATTAAACACTCAAATGGGAATTTATCTGATTTTTATTCCAGATTAGACATAATCCAGACCTAGAAGAGATGGATGGGATTATTCTGCACTGATTGCAGAAAACTTGTTAGTGACAAGTGAATATAAAGCCACATTATCAGGTTTATTTCTTTATATCTGCTTCAGAACAGCGTTTATTGACGTTTCAGGATCTTTTTTTAAATATTCTGTGATTGGTGTGAAATAATCCCGTCCCGGTTTGAAGTGTTTCGGTTTTTAACCTGAAGCAGGTAAAAGACGCTCCAGGTACATCACCCAATCAGAAGCCGACTTCATCCAGAATCTCTCTGGGTTTTAATGAATCTTCTGGTTCTGTTAGACTTGATCCTTCATGGTTAGATGATTCCTCCATGACCTTTGACCTTTAGACCTGGAGTCTCAAAAAAAAAAACTGCAGAAAGACATTGTTTCCTGTCCACTAAATAATTTTCTTAGTTTAGCTCAAGTGACTCGTTGCTTCTGGTTTTAGTTTCCAGGGCGACCATAAATCTGTTTAGCTCTCGCTAAGCTAGCTTAAAGAGCGAAACGACTCGCTACCAAATCAAAGATAAATGTGGAAAATAACGTTCCAATAAAGTGTTTAAGCTTCTTTTTATGATTGAGAAACTAATTAGCATCTATGCTATAAAGTTAATGTATGTTTTGTTTTTGAGGCGCCCCCTGGTGGCCATCACTCTGAGAGGCCAGCATTATTCAGGATGTTGAATAATATTTAACCTGCAGAGGTTCTCTGAATCAGTGATTGATCGGTGATTGATCGGTGATTGATCGGTGATTGGGCCGTTGCTCAGCCATGTTGCTAACTCTCCGCAGCTCCGCCCCGACGTGGTTCCCAAGACGGCGGAGAACTTCCGGGCACTGTGCACCGGAGACAAGGGCTTCGGCTACAAGGGGTCGAGCTTCCACCGCATCATCCCAGATTTCATGTGCCAGGTGAGGCCGCCGCTGCGGGTCGACCCGTGGGTCGGCCGGATCACGCCGCTCACCTCTGTCTGGCCTGCAGGGCGGCGACTTCACCAACCATAACGGAACCGGCGGGAAGTCCATCTACGGCAACAAGTTCGCCGACGAGAACTTCACCCTGAAGCACGTCGGGCCGGGCACCCTGTCCATGGCCAACGCCGGGCCCAACACAAACGGCTCGCAGTTCTTCATCTGCACCGTGAAGACCACCTGGTACGGCGCCGGCCCGCCGCCGTGCGGTGAGCCTCGGCCGAGCCTCGGCTGATCCCTGCTCTTTGTCTGCAGGCTGGACGGGAAGCACGTGGTGTTCGGCACCGTGGTGGAAGGAATGGACGTCGTCAAGAAGATGGAGTCCTACGGAAGCTCTTCAGGGAAACCAAAAGCCAAGATCATCATCGCCGACTGCGGCCAGCTCTGAGCGCCATGGCAGCCACCCCCACTCCCAACACGACCCCCTGCTGACCCTGTAGTCTGGCCCCCGTTAGGCTCCGCCCCTCCATAATCAACATTCCTATCGATGGAGATTCAGCAGATTTCGTCCTGTTTGTGTTCAGTCGGCTGATAATGTTGCTGCATCTGTGACTTTGCTTTTCTGAAGTTTCTTTTGCATTAACGTTTTTCCACAAGTCCTGACGGTTTTTTTGTTAAATCAAATGAAATGAGGAAATAAAAGATGCCTTGATAATTACACCAGTCTCTGGGTTTTAATGTTGAAGCGATTCTGCTGCTGCCACCTCCTGGAGGTTTCCTGCAACTGCACTGGATTACTGTGACGTCACTCAGGTTGTGAGTGAATCCTGGCTTCTGATTTGATGCTTCAAGATGAACCGACAGGGATCCACTGCTGCCGGAACTTGATGTCAAATATTGTAGCCGTTTGTACATAAATTATTCATATAATTATGCAGTACGTTCCGCCGCACTGCATCCTGGGTAAGTGGCGACCGCCAGGTGTTGCTGCTCCATCCAGCCGGAACTGAGGAAGAGGAGGGAAGAAGAAGCTAATGCTAACAGAACGGCTAGCTGCTAACAGGAGCAGGTAAAACTCCACCTGTTCACACCTGAACTTCTGCAACAGGGGTCCCCAAGGTGGGTCCTGGAGGGCCGGCTGCATCCTGTGCCGCTCCTCCACCAGGGGGCAGCATGTACGTGTTTACCAGAGAAAATTCCGATATTCAGATTTATAACAAATTAATTTTTATTGAGATTTAATCAGAAAAGTATCAACAAGACAATTTGAGTCATTTCTATATTTACAGGTGACCTTTGACCTCTGAATGACAGGAAATTATCCCTGGTACAACCAGAACCTCATCTGAAACCAGGATGAACATTCTCAGTTTATGTTCAGAAGGTGACCTTTGACCCCCAGCTGAGTTCTGATTGGCGGTTTTAGAGCAGTTTCAGCCTGGACCCGAGGTTCTGGTTCCAGTTTCCTTTCTGGGTCCGACTTGCAGATTCACGGGTCAGCAGAACCGGGCCGGTGTTGGAGTGAAGCCGTTCTGCTGACCAGAGGCTTCATGTGCCAGTCCCGTCTGGAACCAAAAGGTTCTGGTTCAGCTCGACCCAAACTGAAGAATCTGGGTTTTTAATGAACTCAGATTAATAATCTTAGCTGGTTCTGGTTCTGATGGGGAAAAAGAACCATGGGTTGATTTAAACACTGACAGGTTTTCGGTTTGGACCAGACAGCAGGTTGCCATGTTGGACCAGATAGCCTGCAGCAGGTTGCCATGTTGAGTCTGGGCTATGAAGTCAGAACCGGGTCTAGTCTGAGTTCTGATCCAGTGTTTGAGCCGCTCACATGAACGTTTATTGGGTTTTCCCGAAAGAGGAGAAGAAGAACGTGTCCATAAGGTTGATTGGAGGGCCCGATCACGGTCCCCAGGCCTCAGTTTGGACCCCATCCCCAGGTCCTTCAGCAGCTTCGCTCCGCCGTCCTCTTCTTCTTCCGGCCGGAGTTTCTGGTCTTCCTCTGGGCCGATCCGGACCGGACCATGCAGACTCCCTGCCGCTTGCTGCTGGCTTGATCCGCGGCGCACGCCAGGCCGGCGGCGCAGTCGCAGCGGCCCAGGTTGCGGCGGCGCTTGGTGGCGCCCCGCAGCAGGCAGGCCTCGCCCTCCAGCGGGATCCTCTGGCACCGCTTCCCGGTCAGGTACCGGACACAGCAGAGGCCGGCGGCGCAGTCCCCGGATCGGACGCAGCTCGACATCTCTGGAGCTAAAACATGCTAGGTGTTAGAGCGGGGCCACAGGGCATGCTGGGAGTTGGAGTCCAGCCACTTACCTCTGGTTCTGTTGAAGCTGTCTGTGACTCTGTCTCTGACTTGGTGTCGGTCCAGCTGTCGGTCGGTGTTGGAGTGTCTCCTCTGAGCTCTGTTACTGCAGCCTTCCCTCTGGAGAACAGAAGCGCATCGTCAGCATATCGACTGATGACGGAAACAAAGAGCTTCAGGAGGCTCAGGTCACTGAGTAACAGTTCGCTTTGACTTTAAATCAACTGATTACCTGCTAAAAATAAATAAACTTTTTTTTTATCTGGACAGAAATCTGTTAACATGAGAAAAAGTAGCATCCACTAAGCTAAGCTAGTCTTAAGTGAGCTAGTAAAATAATATGAGCTAGCAAGCATTGAGCTAGCAAGCTAAGCTAAATGAGGCTCAGTTAAGGAAGGGAAAAAAACTGATGATGAAGCTAATAAATATTCAGCTAAGCTAACCTGAGCTGAGACATGTTAAGCTAGGAAAGCTAAACAAAAACCTATAATGCAAACCTTTGATCGAGGCAAACAAAAATTGCCTCGATTAAAGTAATTAAGTTAAAATTAGTTTTTAATTTTTTTTGGGTTGTTGGTAGGAAATAAGAATTTTAAATCATAAACATTTAAAATGACGTCTGACGTTGGAGCTAAAATCTCTGACTGAATTTGTTTCATCTGTGGGATTTTCTCCAGATCACAGTGGATTAGATTTAATCTAAATTAATCTAAATGACAATTAAGACAGATTTTAAATGAAAGTCTACTGACAGAGATGCTGAATGAGACACACAGTGATCATCTTTCCTAGGGTTCTGCTTTCCGTTGGTTGCCATAGTAAATAACAACATCCTCATTGACTTATAAAGTTCACCGTGGCTCTTCAGATCTGCTTTTAATTTCTCTATTGGTTGGTTTTGGCCACAGGACTAAAGGTCTGGACGCTTTAACCTGGATCTTTGATCATGAATCAAACAGAAAGTGCTTCATCCTTTGAGTTGAGCAGCTTTTCATGCCTGAATCCAAGAAAACACAAAAGCTTCACAGACTGGATGAATCTCAGGGTTTTCCTGAAATTCATTGATTCATCTCCGTTTTCTCTGTTATGTGCATCTTGAGAAGATTTGACCTCAATCGTTTTAAAACGTCTCAACAGGAAAGAAACGAGTCTGGACTGCAGAACCACAACAGGAAAACATCGTTTCTGTTGTTTGCTTGCAGACGTATTTTATCTCAGCATCAACACTTGAATTTTTAATCAATTTTTACCTCAAATGATGAAAAGCAACAACGACAGTGAGAGAATATAAATACATAGATAAACTGGCAGCAGCTCATTGAGCTGCTAGCGTTAGCAGAAACTCCCCAGTTTGATTCAACCGACAGGAGAGGACGAGTCTCCAGGCAGGTGTGAAAACTTTGTCCTCACCGGCTGCTCGGCGCTCTGCAGCGCCGCCTCTTTGGACGACCGGATGGTGTTGGAGTCCAGCGCCAAACCGCAGACCAGCGACGCGCACAGGAAGCTGCGATAAATCCACATCCTGCGATCCATCAGCCCACCCTTCCTCTGAAAACACTCCTCTTCCTCAGGATCTCCTCCTCTTCCTCAGGATCTCCTCCTCTTCCTCAGGATCTCCTCCTCTTCCTCAGGATCTCCTCCTCTTCCTCAGGATCTTCTCCTCTTCCTCAGGATCTTCTCCTCTTCCTCAGGATCTCCTCCTCTTCCTCAGGATCTTCTCCTCTTCCTCAGGATCTCCTCCTCTTCCTCAGGATCTCCTCCTCTTCCTCAGGATCTCCTCCTCTTCCTCAGGATCTTCTCCTCTTCCTCAGGATCTTCTCCTCTTCCTCAGGATCTCCTCCTCCTCCTCTCTCCCAGCCAGCCAGGTGAATGCTGCGCTGCCTTCAGGAGCCGTGGGGTTTTATAGCGCCGCCCTGCCTCTGATCCGTCTCCGCTGAGCCGCCAGAGCCTCAGAAGTCTGGCGTGGCGTTTGAAGCTCGACCGCATCAGTCGGCGGGACAGCGCCGCCTTCGTTTCCTTCCTGGAAGGCCTCAGGTGAGGCGGCTGTTTGAAACCCGACACCACAGAGACCGCAGAGAGATTAAAACACACCTGGGGAGCCGGGCAGGTAGCGCTGCTGTGTTTGAAGGTGTGTGT